TAAAAAGGAAAAATATTTTGAAAAATTAAGTGATAGTAGAAATCACCAGCTGAAATAGTTGCACAATTTAATACCTCAAACATATCATATGCCAATGCAACCAAGAGGACCTACAAAGAGAGTATTGGAGCTTTAGCTCCACAGTCACCATTCTAAATGCATGTATCAAAACACCATTCTTGGATCTGCTCTGAAATACTCTCCCAAGTCACCTAAAATCAACTCCCTAACAACTCATTCAACATGGACCAGCCTCAGTCAAGGAAAGAAAAAACAGTTCCATTCATTCCTTTCAGTGCATGTACTGCCCCCAAAGCTGTATATAAGATTACTACACCTAATCTCTATTCTGCTTCTCTTGAACTCATCTTGGGAAACACTCACATGCCTAACAAGCTTCATCGTCATTATAAGGAATGTATCCTGGGATATCCTACTTCCTTGAAAAGAAAAACCCTATCTCTCTTCAACAATCTTTGGAAGCACTCAATTACAAACAACACTGACTTCCACCCGAAAGAGCCATAGCCAGGATTCCTGCATTTCACTACAGAGATTGATAAGAAAGCTTTGGGGACCAAACCTGACACCACTACTACTTTATCCCCCTGCCCTCCAAGGATTTCAGGGCAATTTTGATGAGTATTAGGTGTAATAGTCCCTTCCACAAATCTGCTTTCCACATCTGTAACTCAGCAGAAGACCAAAAACCTTCCTCATTAAAAAATCTGTAAGTAACAAAGTAACAAACAGTAGGCTCAACAGTAGATACAATTTCTTAAACCATAGATTAAAGTTTATGTAATCCTTACCTTCTACGATTTTAACCTCAGTGTTTCCTTTAAAAAAGACACCTAGCAAATTGTGGATTTTCTTGCAACCTGGGATAATCCAGCAATCAAAGAGAAGAGCACTAACCATGCAGTAGGGCAGCCAGCACAGCACTAACCTCTGAAACCTGATCAATAGCAGCAAGGTCTTTAGCGGTCATCAGTCTTAATAGCCGCTGTACTTCAAGCCCTTGAGATAGGAATATTGCTGCATCTATTATCCTGCAGAACTAAAGCCTAGCATCCTTACACCACCATCCTCAGCGTCCTTCCCTGAAGCGACCTGATGAGTTCTCCTGCCCTGCACACTGGGGAAGCACCTACCAACCATTCTGGTCAGAGTTCTAGAGATACTTGCACAAAACACAAGTCAATTTTGTGGCCAATTAAGGAATGTGCAGGATGTTCCTAGATCAGATTCTTATCTGCTTCCTCCAAAAATCCAACACTAAAAGGGGTTAGACTTGTTAGCTACTTTTGATTTGCTCCCGGTTGTGCCTACTGTCTAGTCATATTCCTCACGTTCTATTGTTCTGCCTTCTTTTGCAAAACCTGCAGCCAGAACTAGATTTCTGGTTCAGGTCAAAGGAAGCCCTTCAAAGAGAATGTAAGGCAATGAAAAGGCATGTGCCAGATCAAAAGACAGCAAAAAGGGCAACCCTGAATTTTAAGCAGAAGGAAAAAAAAAAAAAAAACAAGGCATTTCAGGATTCCCCAAAACAGCTATGACAAATGCACATGGTTCAGGTTTTAATGACCAAGCTTTTGGTAGATATCTTAATAGCTAATAAATTCTTCACAAACAGGCCAGAGAAACATATCTGAGTTACAGAACAAAGGTAACCAAAGCACTTGCAAGTGACAGGCAGCTTTCCTTCCCCCTGGCAGAGGCCAAACTATTTTCCTACACCTATTTTTGGGTATTACTACTGTGGTAAGTTCAGCATGTACCAGATCTGTAAAACCCAAAAACTACCACCACATTGTAGCACCAAAAGTTCAAGCTTTAGCTATTGTTCATCTTTCAGCAGCATGGGAGATGAACAACAGCCAAATTACATCTCTCTGTCATCAACTTGAACTGAAGTACTGCTGTCAGTGGCAGGAAAATTGCTACACTTCAGAGCAAATAAGAGCTGAAAAGAAAGTTGTGCCATGATGGCAGTGCTGTATGCTTAAAATACACTATAAATGCTGCTCTTAAGGTTAAAACCTAAAGCAATAGTTGGATCAAGATGAACATTTAATGTACCTTTCCTGAGCTCTGGAGGAGGCTCCTACCAACTCAGTGTTGAAAAGACAATTTGGGGCTAAACGAAAAATGGGAGCTACAACACAAAAGCATAAAATCAACATTCTTGCTCAGACAGTCAATGCAAATTGAAGACATCCCATTTAGTACTTTCATATTCCACACTTTGCTAAATGCTATTAAAAAAAAATCAAAACTCACAGTATAAGGAATATATGCTAAGATACCCACACATTATGCCACCGCTTTTCACCAGAGCATTGCACAAACCCATGAGTTCTGCACAATCTGTCCCCTGGAAGACTAGTTACAAAGACAACCAATAAACCACAAACTTATGACCTTCATGTTTTCAAGTAATCAGTAATATTTGTCAACAGCGGAATTTAGTGTCATGGTACTTGATGAGATATATTCAGTAAAAAGGCCTAGAAACTCTTTGTTTATAATTAAGCAATAACGATTGAGGGCCAGGGCATTTCCTGGGGATTAATGACCGGGCTGGGAGAGCCAATGGCTTGAGGCAATGCCTTGGGCCATTAACCTCAGCCAGTCATTAATTTCCCCAGGAAATGCCCTGGACCTCGATTAGTGTAAGTATCATAAAAGGTAGCTAGAGAGAAAAAGTTTAGCATTAACAGTCTCCCAAGGAAATCCATTCCACAGCCAGTATTTTTTCATTTTGTCACATCCCAGAAGTGCATAAGTTAAGACTGACACAAGAAAAATTGGTGATGAAAATGGGGGGGGGGG